TATGAATTAAGATTTTAATGATTAAATTGGTTGCATAATAATAATAATTTTAAATAATTCTCTTTAAACTTCAAATTGCATAAGTATTTTCAAAATAATTAAGAAAAGAAAGTAGAAATGGTTGGCAATTAATTAAGATTAGTCAAGTAATTAAAGTATATTTCTTGATTTGAGAAATACAAGCTAAAATGGGACAAAGTAGGAAATTTTACTGAAACGATTCAGTTTATTAAAATAAGTTGAATTTTTTCAATAACAATTGTGGAAAGAAGAAAAGGCAAAAATAGTGATAAAGCGCTATTTTTTATAAAAATTTCAGAAATAAAAAGAATCGTAAAAGTTAAAAAATGATTTGATGAAGTTTTTCCAGGAATTTTGATAGTCGTTAAACTATTTTTGGAGCAATAAAACAATTATAGAGCTAGTTAAATTTCTTGTTATAACATCTTTTTTAAATGCATATTTTTGATAATTTATTGATATGTACATTTTTTTATCCAACCTGTGTAAAAGTGTAGCTGGTACAAAAAATACAATGAAATTTTTGATTTTCAGTAATACAACAAAAACTTTATCATTAATGAATGCGGGTAAAATCACTGAGAGCCAAAGTGAATATGAACATGTTAACGCTACAAATGCTCGGAAAACGGATACGGGAGCATTCCGCCCAGTTACTAGAAGACGAGGTATTCAGAACGATTCTAATCAGGTTATTTTTATATATAGCTTTTTAAATTTAACGCTAAAAATATCACTTATTTGATCTATAATTTCACGCATTTTTTTTGCTCCAGATGAAATTACATTTGTTCACGTTACTTTGCTAATTTTTTTTGAAGTTTTTTTTTTGATCAATTACAAGTATCAAGTGCCAAAATCCATTTCAAATGCCATTAGTGCGAATTTAATTTTAAAATCTTTTTGATTAAAAAAATCGGCACCAGATTTTGTATAAAAAAATTAAGCAGAAAACTTGAATTTATTGAAATAAAATTTGCTCCTTTAATACAAATTCTATTTTAATAAATTCAAACTAGCGAATTTTATTTACCACATTTAAAAAAGAAAAGTTATAAGCTCAGAAAGTACTGCTAGGTTTTATTTCTTACTATAAACTCTAGAATCATTGCAATTTTCTAATCTTTTTGTCTGTTTTGCAGGAAATTAGCACGAGATTTGATTTTAATTATTTTAATCACTTAGTATTAAGTTCACCTACATCCTGATAAGTGAAAAAAGTTTTTTCTAATTGGATAATTAAATATGAATTTTTATTTTTGGTTTGTTGTAAAAATTTTACATTATACGAGTTATGGTGTGCTTTATTTTTCCTCTAATGCACATGAAATTTAGACTATTTTGAATAAATTTCTAGCATCGGATGTAGAGATTCTTGAGCTTTGACTGATTGTAAATGTTTAACTTTATTTAAATTATCTAAATTTCATATAATCAAAAATGTTATTAATGTTTCCGCTTTTTTTTTGAATTTGATCTAATAATAATAAAAATCAGTAATCATAACCTTGCATTGGTAGACTTATGTGGATCATAGTATCCAACATAATTTATTTATGTTTCATTTCATTTTAGGTTATAAAACTGGCGTCAGAAAATTGCTCAATTTTTTGCTTTTAGTAATTATTCAAATACTGCTTCTGTGTTGAGTCTTCTGTGAATTTAAAGGCAAACCTGTTTGATTTTTTCAAATTTTTTCTTCTAAGGTGATCCAACCAACCATAGACGTCATGTAACACAAACCATCTGTTATAAAATTTTATTGCTAAAAATTCAAAAATATAAAGGTAGAATGTGTAAATTTTTACAATCCAAAAATGAATGATTTGTTTATCGAGTTTAATGATTTTGTATTTTCATTTCGATTTCTGGAAATTTGAATTTTCATATCTTTAGCTTATTTTCACGATGTTCCAGTTATTGAATGAAAATTTTCTTTGCGATGTATTCTTGTGATTTTAGTAATTAAACTAATATTGTCATTAAATTTTTTTAAAGTATCGTTACGATATTTCTTATTGTTTACTAATGTTATCAGTGAACAGTTATTATTATTATTATATTATTGCTATCATTAATTATTGTTACTGTATGTAACAATAATACGATACTTTAACTGTTCACTGATAACATTAGTAAACAATACGAAATACACAATAGAATGGAGTACTCATCATAATAATGCTACACAATAGATGGAGTACTCATCATAGTAATGCTGTAATGATCAAAAATGAGGTATAAAAGAGATCAAATTTTTTTAAATTTATAGTATTAATATTTGAATGTACGAATTATGTTAGTATTCATACTTCATTTAATCATAGGAAATTAATCTGGTTTTAAAAACAGTACTTTTGGTATTATAATAATAGTCATTCAGGTTAGCATTTAATAGCTATTAAACAAAAAATTTGGTGGTAATTTTTCATATTTGAGCAAAGAAATGTTAACTTGTTATTCGCGTTGATATTACCTGAAGAACTGGGAATATAAGTTATATGGATTAGATTAGATATGAGAGACAAAATAAAAAGCATTGGATAAAATGCTATTTTTTATTCATTATAAATATTTCTGACATTCACATTTGTTAGAGCAAAGGTCAAAGGTTTGCTCTATTGTGTATAAGTTTTGAATATTATCTTAGGTTAGATAATATTCAATAACACAATTTTTTCATTCATTTTGTACGATAAATTTCTCTCATTTAGTATATAATCTGTCAGATTAATTGACTGTTTTAATATTTATTTGAGTTTTGAATTTGATTTTATCAGCTTAGTTTGCATTGTCCAAAGTGATTGAGTATAAAGAAAATGTTTTTTGAGATAAAAATAATAGAAAAACAGCTGAGCATTCACTACTTTCGATTATAGCTGCATATTTAGATATTCAATATTAGACGTCACTTTTTTTGCTGAATATAAAATAAGGTATTCAATTGATGAATAATATAGAATATTTTAAGTGAAATAAGAGCGTAAATATGAAGAAGCAAAATCAGTTACGCAAAATTTGTATTATACGCGCGGCGTTACTTCGATTCATTTTTAGATATGTATTCAATTAAAATCTCTTACTACGATCGTTTATTAAGTGGAAGTAGTGAATTGAATGAACTGGATTTAGAATACTGAGAGAATAAATTTCTTCTGTCTTTCAAAAACGCAAATTAACTTTTATACGCTGAAGTTCTTTTTTTTTTTCAAGTTATTTGCTGCGTAATTGCGTACTCCTGAGATGCAAATAAGTCAGAATTTGATATTAAGTGAAAGAATCAAGGAATTGAAGAAAATTCTTACTCTGGAAGAGGATTAAATCTCACGATTGACGTCTTGAAATGTTATTGGCCTACCCGAATTAGTGCTAAATTTTCATTTTAATGCCTCTTTATCAATCTTCATATGAATTAAATATGATTAGAATCGTATGCATACCAAAATTAATTATGTAAATCAAGATAATTTTGAGATTGATTGCATGAATACCGAAAGAATGTAATAATGTCAGTTTATTGCTTAGGCTTATTTTATGTTCAATTATCCTAATCCTTCATTGACGTGCACTCATTCCTGTTCCTGTTTCGTAGAAACTGCTTACTTTGAATAAATTTTTTCAATTATTCTTATATTATTGTTGTTTGTTCAATTTGGAGTAAAAATTGTCATTTTCTTGAAATTTTATGATTAAATATAAAGGTCAGAAGTGTATTAGAAGAGAAATTGAATTATTAAACATGTGCATTTTAGTGAATTATATACTTGATTGTGGTAATTTCTAATCAAAATGTTGTAAAATTTGAAGCAAAATCAATTTTTAAAAAAAAAGATGACAATAAGTATTTATTGCTTTGTAAAAAGGAATTGCTTTTTTGTTAGCAATCAACTTAACTATTTTACTTAATGAGTTTATTTTGATTTTGGCAAATTTTGTAACATACCAAAGTCTTATTTAAATTTGTATTTCAGAATTCTGGAATAGTCATGGGTAAAAATATTGCACTAAATATGGTACTTGCTAATCAGCAACAACCAATAATAATGCAAGGCACAGTTGGTGAAAAGCGTAGGTATGAAAGTATCACGTCGAAGCTGCATTTTGATCGAGATTCTGAACCGCCGTCTTCTCCAATCGCTACGCGATTACGCAGTAATAACAGTAAGTTTTTAATTAAATTTCATTTTAAATATAATTCTTAAAGTTTATCATCTCGGAAAAGTAATAACATTTGTCATGTTTTGATATCGGCTATCTTATGGACGTTTTTAAGAGTTATATTGTTCACTTTTTGTTGTCATTGTTGATTTAATTACATTTGAGTTGTTATTGATCAATTGCGTAGAATTAAAAGTTCTTAAAAGACGTGACTACCAAATTATTTTCATGAGTAAACTAACGATGTCTTTTTGCGTATATCTGACTATTGTTCATCTCAAATTGAAGATTCATTTTTATAAGTTATTTATAGATTGGATTGTTAAATGTTATTAATGAGTTATATTGTAAACAAGCTGTACAAAATCTCGTCACGATTCTTGGTTTAAAAAAAGAGATATGATTTAAAAGATAGAATCACTTTGATGGTAGCAAGTATTAGTGAATATAAAGTTTGAGTACGAAAATTTTTATGAATTGGGAATAAATTCTATTTTATTCAGATGCTAACAATAATGAAACTCCACGTGAAACACTTGTAGCGGCACGTCGGCAACCAGTCAAAGTGATAATTCACAATCCTGGCGTTAGACGTTTATCAGTTGCTGCCAGCCATCAAAATAACAAAATTGATTCGAGCAATGAATCCGATGTTTTACCTTCATATCCATTAAAACGTGGTCGTATCAGTAACGGTGGTCGACCATCACTTGATTTTGAAAAAATGCGAGAGGTTAGAATTTTTATCGTATGAACATTTAAAGTATACATAATTTGAAGTTGAAATTGTGCTAGAAGTATATGGCTTTTTGTTTGCAGTTTCAGTTTTTGTTCAAAGAAAATAGCTTAACATTGAAACTAGACATTTTTTTATCTATGAAACGTTTGAATGTAGAAATTGACAAAGAATAAATTAGTTGGTTTCCTGTTATGTTACTAAAAAGGTTGGAAAAAAATAGAAGCCTGAGTTTGAGAATTGTCATTGATGGAATTAATTATCTTACTTCATGCAATATATTATAAAATATTGAATTTTGTAGACATAGTAATGGAATATAATTTGAGAATTGAAAATTTTTTACTTTTTTTATCCCTAAGTTACAATTATCATTTATTTATTTTTCCACAAATTCTATTTAATTAATTTTTTTTAAAGAACAGAATACTGGTTTTTAAGAGAAGATTGCAATTTCAAAATGGATCTAATACATATTTGATTATTATTTTCGGCTTTCAAATTCAAAAAAGCTGAGCGTAGATGTCTTTTAGTTATATTCAGAATGACAATATGTTTTCTATTTCAAGTTAATAATAATCTTTTTTGATGAATCAGATCAGTGAAAGATTAGTTGAAGGATTGCTCACTTTGTAAACATATTTAATGAAATAGTTGTAGGCATTAAAAGAATGCATATTCATCTTAATAGCTAGATATGAGTTGGTACTAAAATATTTGCAACTGATACTCTGACAGCAAAAAATTGATACTATGACAACAAAAAAATGGTGCTATGACAACGAGAATAGTTTATTTGTTTAGCTATGAATACGGAAAAGTATGTATGAAGAATGAATATTTGTTAGATATTTATTTAAATGCATATTTCTTAATAGTAGTTAATCATTGTATGCAAGGCACAGAAATATTTTAAAGGGTCGGTATCAATGCTTATTGAATATTAGCTATTATGTTGTCTAGATTAAAATTGGTTAGCATATATAGTTACAGCGTTTGGTAGTAAGCAGTGTTTGTGGTATTGGATCACAGGAATTCGTAGATTCAGCTATGAGTATTGGAGGTAAAGATATCGAAAAACGCAAAGTATGTATTTGCATTTTTTTAGGATTTATTGTTATTGAATAAAACATTTATTTTTCAATCATTGTTCTTATTTAAGACAGAAAATGTACAAAGCAGGAAGAATAAAAAGTATGTTAATAATATTAAGAAGAGCAGATGAATATATGAAGGAAGTTGCTAATTAAAGTTTAGTTTGAGCAGATTAGATGGCCTTGTTTAAAGTAATAGTCCGTATGTTTATAGAATTTTAAATGTTAATAACGTAGGTATTATTAGCAACAAGGTAATTCTCTTATGGGATGCTATTTTAAATTATACAAATTTGAAGAGTTGATAAAATAGTTCAATAGAATACTATGCAGCTTATTCACACGCAATATTCAACGTATTTTGTTTGGTTATTGCTAAAGTCCGGTCTAGATTAAATTTGTATAGATTACTACTGTTGTCCTGCTTTGTGTGTTCTATCAAAATGACATGTTGTGGGGAAATTGTAAATAAAAAAAGACTATGATTTTTGCGTAGTATATAGTTTTATTCAAAAACGTTTTTCAAATACTGTAACATCGGTTGAATTTAGTGTTAATTAGTATTTTTTGATTTTATGATTAAGGAAATAATTTTGCAGCACGACTGGGTATTGACAAGTTCCAGTTCAGGTTCAAATATGAGTTCAGGTTCATCAGGTGGACGTCGTTGTGTGCAGCATCAGCAAGCACGTTGTCAACAAACTGATTGCACATTTCGACCTGTTGATTGTGATGTTACACAGTTTAATATTGGAGGTAGTAATGGTAATACTAGTGGTGGTGGTACTGGAGATAATGTAGATGACAAATAAGTTTGATATATTTCGGTGATTTCAGGTTCGGGTGAATTAATAAAGATAGCCTTTTCCCTCTTTATCACCTAATGCTATTATTATCATTGTATTTTTCTTACATACATAAATTTACGCATCAGTTAATCTTTTCATTTATAAAAGCAAAATATTTTCTCTTCCTTCTTTCTTTATTATTTTTCAAAACTGTGTACTGATAATTTTTCACTTTTGACTGGTTTGTTGTTTGCAGTTATTCATTCTCATTTCATTCATTCTCAATCTTTGTATATGTTTTTGCTTATGTCTTGTTCATGTTGTTGTTAGCCGTTTGTTGATTGTTTTTTGTTTTTGTTGAAAATCTCTCCAGTCATGATAATAGTAGATTTCTCATTGTACTGTTTTATTAGTCCTCTAATATTCGAACTATTATTTCCTCTTCCTGTTTTCCGAAACTTCTGCTTAATTAGCAGTTTTAGTTTATGCAAAAATTAGAATACTTAAACCAAAGTTTATGTTTTCAATTCTTTTCGTTTCCATCTTCCGTTCATTTTAAACTTCATTTTAGCATTGGAAAAATATTGTCTAGTCAGTGAAAATATGTTAAAAAGTAAATGCAAATTTCATTTTACTCTATTAAATTATTCCAGTATTTGTTGCTAATTTTCTACGTACGTAAATTTAATAAGCGTACTCTAGTGATATGAATTACGCTATGAATTTGCAATAATAATAAATGTGGCAAGTCAAATAGCATTCCCGACCCTCCATGATGGGATGTTTTTTTGTCTTCGGCTTTTTTTTTTGCTATTTTTTTTAATTTTGACGATTAGTATTTTGCATTCATTTATTTATTCATTCATTTCGATATTCCTTTCAAAATTAAAGCATTTTTATTTTGTTCGTTACTTTAGAATATTAATTTTTTTGTCTTGGTCGATCAATGACAATCAACTTATAAGCATCAATTTAAAATGATACATTCTTACTACATAAATTGACTTATTTAGTTTGAAGTAAGGCGAAAATTCATTTGCATAATTATTAACTGAAATAGGGATTTCATTTTCAGCTTCATCAATAATAATTTGTAATTACTAATGAAAATTTTCAGGAAAAATAGTGTTGCTTTTTTTTACCTTAGTAGGTAGAAGAAGTTATTACATTTTAAATTCGTCTGATGTCAGGTAAGTGTGAACATTTTATTAGGTACTGTTTTAATCCTTGAGATTATTTCCATAGCTAATTTATACTATTAGCTATGCATGTAATTAATTTAACATGAGTGATTTTAAGTTTGTTTTCAGTCAAAGTATCGTTTGATGTTTATTATATCCTTCTTTTCTCGTTCATTCTTTTAATGTTGACTTTTTATTTTATTTTTTTTAAAGAGAGAAAAAAGAAGCAATTTACAGTGTTCTCTAAACAATGTGTATTCTGTAGCATGGATAGGATATCACGAAGTCGATTTGCTCAAAGTACCAGCTCATGCTCAATTTGATCTTGTTTCACTTCTCAGACTCATTCAGTTACTACAGTTTCAATTATCAAAAATGAGCATTTAGTTATTATCAAAAATAACTAATAATTGATCTTATAAGTATTAGATAATAGAAGCATAAACTGGTACTAGTACTAATAATTTACATTACTATTGGTACAGTATTATCTAACTGTAAATTATGACACACATATTTCGGTGTTGGGATATATTGCATTTCGTCCCAGTATAAATTATGAAAAGTAGCATTATATTGTGGGAATTTGTTATTGCATAGCGTCGCGGTAATAATGAACTTTAATAAATAAGCTAAAGCATCGAAATATGCTAATTTTTATTCGTATTGTTTGCTGATTTTGTTTTCGCGTCGTGATCTCCTCACATTGTATGAGTTCCTGTACTTTTTGATTTTTCCTTTTAGTTTGAATGAGGTGAATACTTGAAATGATTTGATTTCATTTCTGATTATTCACAAATTTTTGAAATCAAAGTATTAAGTTATGAGTTTTGTTTATTTTTATGAGTTTTTGTTTTGTTTTTGAAAAACAAAAGAAGTTATTATGACGATTTCAATTTTTTCTATTTTCATTACTACATGAATTACTATTATTATTACTATTTCTTGCTTCTTTCTCTAATAATATCACAATTTTCAGTTTGTATAATTCGCATTAGTATCCTTGATTGAATTATCAGTTTTTGTGTATTTTTTTGTGAGTGTATGAATTTAAAAAGTGACAGCATTGAATGTGTGATCGCCATCTCAAGATTCTTTATGAAAATTTTTCCTTGAATAAATCTTTGAAATCAAGAAATTAACTCAGCTAAAGAGCAACATCTTAATGATTTCCTTAATGAAATTTAATTACCATCAGTAATTAAAATAGTAGAATTGTACTGATCAGATGCTATCTATCATCGAAAAGATGATAATTATTGCACTGAATTGCTAAATTGCTAATATTTTCATGCAATTTTAATTTTCAAATTGCTTTTATGGTTATATCAGTTCAATCATTTTTTACCTATTTGCAATGTATTTGATTTTTTTTCAAAAAAATTTTTTTTGAAAAAAAAACTTTATCGCTTAAGAGCATTTTTATAGTAATCTTTTTCATTTTTTGAAATGAATTACTGTATATTGCTACAGTCAGCAATAACATTTTTCAAATGTTTTTGAGTAATATTTCAGTAGTATTGTTGTACTTACGAAAAGAAGGAGAAGGTATCGAGATATAGATCTAAAAAGATACATTTGTTTACAAGTGATCATCGAAATAATTAAGTGATCAATTAATTACGAGTAGTTAATATGCAATGAATTTGCGTCATTTATGTTTGAGGAGTTTGTTATTCTAGCAGTTCGATAGATCTCGATTATCAACCTTCTTAATCGTATATTCTCATTATTTTTGCCGTTTCAGTTGTACGTTATTTAATTCTTATATTTTTGCATAATTTTTCGTTCAGTTATGATTTTCTATGAGATGAAATAAGTTGAGTGATATCAAAGTATATCTCTCTAGTAGTTATTTTTATCATTATATTTACAAACTGACTGATGTATGCTAATTTATTGTGCACAAATGTCTCTTTTTGCAGTTGGCTTTGTTTTTTAGAATATTAATTATAACCATTCATTCATACTCATTTAGTGTATTTGAAATAACATTACAATGTCATAATTTTGCATTTCTTTCTTATAAAGTTGAAAGTTCATTTGCATTCGTCCATGCACTCAAACACACACACTTATTATTGTTGGCAAGGATTACTTGTCATTGAAAACAATTTTGAATACTTTCCTGAAAGTAATTTGAAATTTTGTATGCATTTTGTCGTTCGCTGTTTGAATTTTTCGAAAAATTAAAGATTTAGTGTATTAAATTTGACGTTATCAATAGAAAAAGTTGAAATAATAAAAAGAGGAAAATTTAATTAATTCTTAATCTAAATCAGTGTGTATGCAAATTCTGAAACACAATTACGTGTTGACATCGCGATGAATAATTGAAATTTTGCTTTTGCAGAAAGTATAGTTCAGTTTGAGTTTTTTTGAGGACTAAGGGCTTAAGCTATGAAAAATATATTAAACAAGAAACTTTTTGACTTCAACGTTAGCTGCCAAAAACGCGCCAAATATTGATGTTACAGAATGCGCGAAATTACGCCTATTCATAACTCATGGTTTTCTCCTGTATGATTATTTGTGAGATTAAAACTAAATGCGTAATTGGAGATTACCTAAAGATGGCATTAATTCAAGTCAAAATTTAAATTTTTGTGGACATTAACTTTCTAACTACTATTATCAGCAGTTTTTAATCTGCCTAAAAAAATACCATTTTAAAACAATTCTAGGTCAAAGTGTACATTCTATGTAAATTTCTTCACATTCTATTAATATGAAAGCATTTAAGTAGATTATTTTACAAAGTTAATAGCTCCAAGTAGGATAATATCAATTTGCATAATTCTATGGGAATATTTTTAAAACTAGATTCTAATTGGGTTCATAAAACATAATCAGCCGGTCAAATTTCAACTTTTAAAAATTGATCTTTTTGACGAAACGCAGTAAAGATGAAGAAGAGATAATTTATTTGGTAGATTAGCAAGATTTAGTATGTCTTCTGCTGTTTCCTTATAAAAAGAAATCTTCCTTTGTATTTCGTTAGTGATTGATAGAAGTGATTATTCAAACTAACATCTTTAATATTTATTTACTTATTTAATTCATTATCCATTTATTATTGCCTCATTTTCAGTACAAATTTTGCGCGCTTATAAAAGACTTCAGTTAAATAATGTGTTTCAAATATGCGAGAAACATTTGAGAATGACAATCTTCTCCACAATTCGTTTTAAGATTAATAGATTTTCAAGAAAAGTATTCCAAGAATGAAATTAAATTTGAAATATAAAAGACTTTCTTAACCTTCACATTTATCTTGGCATATTTGTAATTATTACAGTTTCAGTACAAGTAATTATAAGTAAAATTTAGTACTGTATTAAACTATTTTACATGAAAAAAAAAACTTATTAAATCTGGAGATTATTGTTGATAATTAGTTATATAACTTGTGTTTGAAAAAAAATTGATCCAAAATTTGATTTTACGAAAAAATATTATTCAAATATGTTTTGAATGTCTCGAGAAACTTTAAAATTTTTTGTGATATTAAAAAATGAAGTTAAAATTTGAACAAAATTTTTGACTTTTTATTTCAAAATTGTTTAGTATATGCACGACATGTAAAGTATGTTATTCTTTAAATATGAATATAATTTTATTAATCTCGTCCTTTTTGATATGTTTAATTGGATTTATAAAATGTAATCGAATCAGATTTCAGACAGTTTTATTATTCAACACTGCAAATTAAACAGATAACACTAATCCATCTTTGATCACAAAAAAAAATTCAAAGTTAAAAGCATAATAATAACAGCGAGGTACTAACTTTTAAAACCATAACATTATTACAAAGTTTAATAATCACATATTGTAATTATTCAATCATAAAATTATCCCTAAAAATTTCATCCCTTCACTACTTGAAAAAATTTTTGATATTATAAATTATTGCTTACTAAGGATTTTCTAATCTTAGTTCGCGATTTTTGGATAAGCATTTCGTAGTGGATATTGTGGCGGAACGTATGGTGGGAGTTGCTTTGGAACTTGCGGAAGTTGCTTTGAAACTTGTGGAAGTTGATTTGAAACTTGTGGAAGTTGATTTGAAAATTGTGGAAGTTGCTTTGGAATTTGCGGAAGTTGATTTGAAAATTGTGGAAGTTGCTTTGAAAATTGTGGAAGCTGCTTTGGAACTTGCGGAAGTTGATTTGAAAATTGTGGAAGCTGCTTTGGAACTTGCGGAAGTTGATTTGAAAATTGTGGAAGTTGCTTTGGAATTTGCGGAAGTTGATTTGGAAATTGTGGAAGTTGCTTTGAAAATTGTGGAAGATTTGATGGAAAGCGTGGTAGTTGAGGATAGGTTGGAATTGTTTGTGGTTGCTTTCTGAAATAAAAAAAACAAAATTATCTCCTAAAACTGAATTCAATAAATTTGTAAGATATCACTTCTGGTAATAAAAAATTATTATTGTTAAAAAATTTGCTTGAGAAAATAAAAACTTACTTGATACCACCACACTTGGTGCATTTTTGAGGATGACTTTGAGTATGTTGACAGTTACATTTATTTTGATTTCTGGAAAGGTTATTGCAACAGTTTGGTTTTT